GGCAATGGCTCAATCTAGTGCCAGGAAGACTGCTAGATAACACTGTGGGCACACGTCTCGGGGGCCTCCCCAGACTGCTTCGCTGGAGGAGTGATAGAGGGCTGAGTTCAGCCTGGCCAGGCGGAGGGTCTGAGAGGATCTGAAGCACCAGGAATGGCCTGTAAGGGAAACTGAGGCACGACATGAAGCTGGGTGAGGACTTAGACTCCTCACATCTTAGGAGGATATTGATTTTATTCTAAAGGGAGCACCAAGAGAATGTAGAAAATCCCACAGGAGGCCGATGGGGGTCGAACGGTAGGATTTTAAAGGCCGCTGTCTGCTGGGAGAGCTGGACTCACTGTGGTGGGCTGGAGTGGCCGGGATGAAGGCAGCCCAGGAGGCTACCGAAGCTAGGGGCTGGCGGTTTGCAGTACGCTTCCAAATGTGAGATCTTCAATTCATGTGAGGATACTCAAGTTCAGGAAACACTGGAGAAAGCTGAGGCCTGGCCCGTTCAGAGCATGCGTGAGGTAAAGCAGTGCGAGAGACCAGTGGCAAGTAGAAATGATGAGCAACCCGCGCTGTTTCCTGGTAGCTCTAAGTCCGTGCACTTCCTCCTTGAGAGTGGACAACTGATTCATTTTAAGAAGGAATCTGTTTTCAGTAAAAAGTGTTCCTGCCCGGTCTGGTGGCACAGGCCTATAAACTCCATACTGGGAGCTGAGGCAAGAGTATCAGGCCTTCAGGGTCATCTTGAGCTTTGTAGTGAGTTTGAGGCTAACCTGGGCTACATAAGACACCCACCGCCACCCTTGTCTTACAAAACAAAAGACATAAGTGATTGCTACTAATTCATTTTAATTAGTATACAAAGTAGCACATTTCTTTAGGACATCATACATGCCTGGTTTGGGTTGATTCTCACTCCCCCCCACAGTCACACACACGCTCTCCCCTCTGTACCCCCCCCCCCCCCAGTTTCCTCCCTCTCCTTTCTCTGCGTGTGTTCTTTTACCCTCCCCCAGTGCTGTGGGATGTTCTGTATGGCAAATGTGTTGCTCTGATTGGTCAATAAATAAAACACTGATTGGCCATTGGCTAGGCAGGAAGTGTAGGCGGGACAAGGAGGAGAATAAAGCTGGGAAGTGGAAGGCTGAGTCAGAGAGACACTGCCAGCCGCCATGATGAGAAACAGCATGTGAAGATGCCGGTAAGCCACGAGCCACTGGCAAGGTATAGATTAATGGAAATGGATTAATTTAAGCTGTAAGAACAGTTAGCAAGAAGCCTGCCACGGCCATACAGATTGTAACCAATATAAGTCTCTGTGTTTACTTGGTCGGGTCTGAGTGGCTGTGGGACTGGCGGGTGACAGAGATTTGTCCTGACTGTGGGCCAAGCAGGAAAACTCAAGCTACACCCCAGCCCCACCCCACCCCGTCTCCCTTAAAATCTCTTTTCTTCCCCCTCTGCTCACTGAGAACCCCTGTGTCGTTTCATGCCCCTAATCGCACTTATACCCACCTAAATACATGCATTTAGAAGTCGCTGGAGGCAGGGGTGAAAATTTTATTTTTAGCTTAAGCTTGTGGCTGAGGGTGGAAGTAACGCAGAACCCATGCCTCTTGACATTAGACTAAGTTTTTTAAAATAAATGTATTAGTTTATAAGATTTGTTTAATATTAGTGTATTCTGCCTCATTTCAAAGACAGTGAATTTGAAACAACTTTAAAAACCACATGTACAGGGGACTGGAGAGATGGCTCATCATTTAATGCTTTTTTAGAAAACCTGGGTTCAGTTCCCAGTACCCATGTGGCCACTCACAACCGCCTCTAATTATAGTTCTTATAGTTCCAACGCCTTCTTCTGGCCTCTGTGGGTACTGCATGAACATGATGCTCCTATTTACTACAACAGACACATGAAATGAAAAGATAATGAAACTTTAAAAAAGAAGGAAAAGAACAATTGTAAAGTTTTTGTTTGTTTGTTTGTTTGCTTGTTTGTTTTATGTTGTTGTTATTTTTGTTTTAGTGTGTGGGCCTGTGCTGTAGCTCAGCAGTTAATTGTCTTACTGACTGATGCTGCAAGCTTGCCTACTGGAGTTTAATTCATGGAACCCACATGGGGGTGGAAGGAGAGAATTCCACAAAGTACCACACATGCGAACATCACACACACACACACACACACACACACACAAGTAATAGTAGCAATAATAAGAATAATAGTACTTAAAAAGGAAACGACATGTGGCATCCAGGCACAGTGATTTATAGCTATAGTTTATATATTTTCATTAGTTATATTTATAGCTCTATATATTTCTGCATTCATGAGTCTAATGCAGGAGACTTGCCATGAATTCCAGGCCTGGGATATGGTGTGATAACCTGTCTCAAAAACAAAATTCAACCAACCACTACCACCAAACCCAACAAAAAACTCTGTGTACCCTGATAAGATCCAGAAAGAATAGGAGTCAAAAGGAAATTAGGGTAGACAGCGAAAATGGTGGCCTCCGGCGTCAGCTGAAGACTCCACCGTATTTGTTGGAACCACGAACAACTCTAATGCTCACTCCATGCAAAAAAAAAAAAAAATGTGTGTGTGTATGTGTATGTGTGTGTGTGTATGAAGCCAGGCTTGTGGGTTTTATCTGGTGATTTTTTTGGTGAGCAATCAGAATAGCAAATATTGAAGTTTTTATGAAATAACGTCTATTTAGACTCATTGTGAAAAGTCAGAGTGTCCTGGAAGTGTACAATTGTGTACAATTGAGCCTACGTGTTATACTTTAAGGAATTTTCTTACTTAAATAGCTATGACTACCTCCTCAGTGAACCTGCTTTCCCTACAGTATAGCATAGAACTGTGAGTCCCAAGTTTCAGTGTATATTAATCATTTGCTTTCAGATTATAGAGTTTATGAGTCTACTACTGAGATATTACATTGCTAAGGAGGAACTTTTACTTTTTTTTTTTTTTTTTTTTTTTTTTGGTTTTTTGAGACAGGGTTTCTCTGTGTAGTTTTGGTGCCTGTCCTGGATCTTGCTCTGTAGACCAGGCTGGCCTCGAACTCACAGAGATCCGCCTGGCTCTGCCTCCCAAGTGCTGGGATTAAAGGCGTGCGCCACCACCACCACCCGGCGAACCTTTACTATTATACAAAGTGGGAAACCTCGAAGTTTTGTGCAAATATATGGGTTTCATAAACATTTCCTGTGGGAGATCTCCACTCAGGAGAGCTGAGTACCCCTGGGAGCAAGGCGTAGGAGTCCACATTTCATTCTGTTGTCTTGACGCTGCAACTAATTTTAAGGCAGGGCTTATAATTTGCTTTTAATTTCCCAGGTTTTATCAAACTGTGATGTTGGATTGGTTATCTACCATGCAACACACAGGGCCATTCTTTTCAGGGTTGGGGAAAGACTATATGCATCGAGAGGTCACATGTTAAACATCTGCTAATCTCTAATTTAAGGCTGTGGCCTTTTCCCCTTTGAGGAAATCCTTGATGAGGAGGATTTGTATGGCTGAGGATATTGCTTGTGTTCTGGTAAAGCCATGGATCCTACAGAACACAGCCATTCCAATAGAGATGTGGTTAAACAATCTTTCGTTTTAACTGACTTTAGAGACCAGTTAATCCAGAAGGTTCCAGACTGTGCTCTGTAGAGCTCTACAGGTCCTACAGAGCCCCCAGCAAACCCCTTGGTTTTGTCTCTTTATTTGGCTAAATTTTTGGTGGAAGAATGCATATTGCAACCAAAAAAATAAAGAAACCAAAACCAAACAACAGCAGCAGAAAAAACTGTTTAAAACCTATCAATTCAACTGTATTTTGCACTTCAAACAAGTGAAGGGATTTGCATGAAGTCGAAGGTCAAGAAGTCAGGGCATAGTGGCTTGTGCCTATAATGCCAGCAGAGGCAGAGGCAGGAGAACTGCAAATTTCAGGCCATTCTGGGATATGTAGCATGCCTCTGTCTGTCTCAAAGAAAACACATACCAGCTCATGATGGCCAATAAAAGGCTAATCTTCTAGCTTCAGTCTCTGTCTGTCTCAAAGAAAACATATAGACCAGGTCATGATGGCCGTTAAAAGGCTAATCTTCTAGCTTCAGTCTCTGTCTGTGTCAAAGAAAACACACAGACCAGGTCATTATGGTGTTAAAAGGCTAATCTAGCTTCCAATCTAGACTTACAGACATGGTGCCGTACTGAGTTTAGAAATGTGGACACATAAGCCATTTGGATCTTCCAGCAGCTTGATCAGTGCTGTCGGCAGTTGTAAAGGCTGGGTAGAGTATATCTCCACATATGGAATAAAGGTAGGATATACTGTAATACTGTTATCTAATATGTCTGTGGGTCTTGAACAGCTTAATTTGAGCTTTACAGTCTCTTCATTTGAATATTTTGTCCTATGACATCCAAGATTCACCTAAAACCTGAACTAATACTTTTCACTTTTCATAACCCTCTCCTTGAAAGGAAAAAACCCTCAAAAAAAAATCTTGACTGTGGTTTTAGGCCAGAGTAAGCCACTCTCATTGGAGGTGGATCCCAAGTGCCTTGTTCCCCGTGGCAAGAGTGACGGTTTGTTAATGGTGTGCAGCATCACTCCACAGGTCAGGTGGGAGGCACCAAGCTAGGTATTTTTATGTGCATATAAGGAGGTATGTCTTTGTTGAGTCTCTGGGCTGCCTCTGTATGCATATGTTTAAGTCATAGCTGCTCTAAAGGCCAAAACATACCAAATGAAAAAAATTGGTAATGTTCCTGTCGCCAGTCCCCACTTCTTCAAGGGTAAGATAATGAGTTACGTTTCTTGGTTTGTTTTTGTTTTTGTTTTTGAGAACATAAGAGTAGTGGTTTCTTGAGTAATTGGAGCAATGACAGTTTATTCTCTGAAGAAAACATCCTCAATTTCTAGGCACATGTGAAACTTACATTGAAATAAAGCAAAACAAAACATCTTTGAACATTTGTTTTTTTCGTCAACCTTTAGGGTTTGCCTCAAAGGATACTTCAAGAATTGAACAGAGAAGTCCCACGCGAGCTGCCTGAAGCTGCCGGTCTTCTCTTGCCCTGCCTTCCACATAAAGAACCAGGCCCAGTCCAGTTGGTGACCTTTAGTGAGTACACTTCCTGGAATCCTTTCCTTTCCTACTTAAGTCAGAAAATAATTTCCCTCCCTATCAAACAGGACATCTGCTGTTAGGCAATGTAGGCCTGATGTATGTTTACATGGTGAATTAGTGGTATATTACACATGACGGTGAGGCACTTTGAGCCTGCGCTACAAACCCTTATTTCTTTGTACATGTCACGTCTTTGTGGCTTGAGAGGAAGACAGGTCTTCTCCTGTCTGCCTGTGGGAAGAGACTGAGGGTAACTCAGGCTGCTTACTATCTACTTCTGACTTCTCAGAGGGCATTAGTATTTCCTTCCTTCCTTCCTGCCTGCCTGCCTGCCTGCCTGGGGGTTTCTTTGATGATTGCCATTATTGTGAGTGTAAAATGGAGTTATCATTAGTTATCATTAGTAATCCCTAACGATTAATGATGCTCAGTGTCTTTTCATGTGTCTGTTGTATCTTGGAGAAGTGTGTGTTCAAGTCCCCTGTTCATTTGTTAATCAAGTTGTTTGCTTGACTTGTGCTGAGTTTGTGGTTCCTTATGGACTCTGGGCATGAGTTCTTCACCAGAACATGATTTGCAAGTATTTTTCTCCTCACCATGGGATATCTTTTATCTCTGTTTATGGTGTTATTTGATTAACAAGATTCTGATTTTTTTCTTTTGCAATGCTGGGGATGAAACCCAGGGCCTTGTGCATGCTAGGCAAGTACTCTGCCACCGAGTTACATCCCAACCAAGTTTTAAAGGTGTTTCTGTTTGTTTGTTTTGTTTTGTTTTGTTTCTTTGAGACAGGGTTTCTCTGTGTAGCCCTGGCTGTCCTGGAGCTCGAACTGTAGACCAGGCTGGTGTCAAATTCAGAGATCTGCCTGCCTCTGACACCACAAGCATATACCACCACAGTCTGGCTGAAGTTTTTATTTTACTTACTTATCTAGAGACTGGGTATCTTGTAGCCCAGGCTGGCCCTGACACCTGATCCTCCAATTACCTCAGCATCTGGTGCTGGGATTATAGGAGTATCCAATACACCACTATGCCAGGCTCAATTTTTTAATTTTGATGAAGTTTGTCTATTTCTTCTTTTGATATCTATGGTTCTGTGTCAAATCCATGAATCTTTCCTCCCATTTCCCTTTTCAGTTTGGGGGCTCAGATTTATACCTTTGGTCTCTGTTGAGTTAGTTTTGACATACAGTTTAGGGCCAGGGTTCTTTGGAAAACAAGTACTCTTTAATCCCTCCAAATCTTGGGTGAAAGGCATGTGCTGGCTAGAAGTTAGTAACTCCAATACCTTAGATGCTCACACTCAACGTTCATCTGCGTTATTTTGCTAGTACACTTCGGTCGCCTGTCCTGCAGATGGATGAGAGAAGGCTGAGGGAGGCAGCTTGCTTGTGTAACTAGTATATAGTTATTTCTGCCTAACGAAATCCCCAGCAAAATAACAGCAGAAGCTGACCGTATTTAGGCATGCTCTGCGCACACCTGTGTGTGTGTGGTAGAAGGGTGTTTTTGGCAGTGGAGGCAAAGAGAGAGGACACACTCCATGTGGTTGGGTAGAGCTGTAGGGAGATGACTGCACCATTTGCACAAAATCCAATGGTTCCTTAGGCTGCATCAGAGAAACTAAACTAGCCTTCCCACAATACCATGGGCAAACTGTGTTTCCAGAAGTTTTCCTAGTCCTGTCTCGCTGTACAGAACCCACGTATGCTTCCCATATAAAATGTGAGGTCCATCCAGCACCTTCCCTGGCAGAATCTGAGCAGGAAGAACCGTGTGGCTGTGTACACTGACCCACCTAGTATCAAAGGTCTGCAGTAAGCTGACTGTTCTCTGTCAGGCTTGAGATAACAGCAGGGCTGCACTTATGCAACCCACAGTTACAGGAGTCTCTGTCAGAACAAGATTCGGTTAGACTTTCAACATCGGAACACTTGGCATGGGGAGTCAGTGTCCAAATTCCAAATCAGTTAGTGTTAAATCTGTTAACATAGTCTTCGGGACAGAGTTTACCAGGTCCACCCCTCTCCTGGTTTTCACTGGAATTGGTTTACAAGGGAGAAACCGTTTTTGGCCATCGTGGGTTTTTATTCTCATTTTGCCATAAAATGGGGATTTGGAAAAAGAAACAGCTGAGCAAATTACATTTTCCTGATTTTGGATAACATAAGATAGCCTGTGCTTCCTGGAGATAATGTGTGAGACTAGCATAGTGCATTTCCCCGTGTCTTTTCACAGGTGACTCACTCAGAGCACCCTGTACGTCCCTGGTGAGCTTGAGCATAAATGATTAGCTCAAATCCGGGGTGCTCTTATTTATGTGTTAGGCTTTCAAATGATGGATTAGCTCCAAGTACAACACGGGAAAGTAGAGAGTACGTGCGTGAGACATGGCGTCAATCAACTGCTACACACACCTGTTTCTAGAGCTTAACATCCCTGACGAACCACTCACCTCTTACCTCTCAGTGGGGTCATGTTTTCTTTCTACTTCCACCCATATACTAAGTGTGTATTTCATGGCATTCTTTTTTTTTTTCTCATGGCATTCTTTCATACTGCTTTACTTTCTAGAACTGTTAGTATAGGCAGTTGTCAGGCAAGCAACTTTTACTGCCTGGGTAATTGTAGACTGGAAAATAGTTCTCTTTACCCCTCTCTTTCTCTTTTCCTCCTTCTGTCTCTGACTTTCACAGCCTCAGAAGTAAACAAAGCAAGTTGTTTGCTCCACAAATGCCATGCTCATTTCACCTTCGAAACTCATGTATAGGGTGCTAGGGAAGGTCCCAGGAATCCACAAGGATGACCCCACCTTAGACTACTAGCAATAGTGGAGAAGGTGCCTGAACTGGTCTACCCCAGTAATCAGATTGGTGAATACCCTAACTGTCCCTCAGAGAGCCTTCATCCAGTAACTGATGGAAGCAGATGCAGAGATCCACGGCCGGGGCACCAGGCCGAGCTCTGGAGGTCCAGTTGAAGCGAGAGAAGAGGGATTCTATGAGCAAGGGACATCAAGACCATGATGGGAAAACCTTAAAAAAACAATTTAAAAAAACCCACCCTCATTTATAGATAAATGAGCTTTCAGTTTTTCATAGTCAAGCTTTCCTCCCTTTGCTGATCGTGAGCCATGTATGGCCCACACCTGAGGAAATTATTTCTACAAGCACTAAAAGTGAGTAGCCTTCAGATAGCCACACAGCTCGATTCCCACTTGTTACTCTGGGTATCTTATTAGCCAGGGTGATTACAGTTGGGAGGCAGAGACAGCAGATGAGAGCCTAAGATGAGGGAGAAGCACATGAACGAGGAGAGGAAGCCAGGGTGAATGAGAAGGAAGAGATGGTGGGATGCGTGCCTTGTCCAGCCGACTTCCCTCAGCCTGGCCCCGTGTGTGCTCTCCCCTGGATGGAAAGAGGGCTGAACGAACGGTAGTAAGACTGAGGATCTTGGGTTTTGTGTGCTCGTACACAGGGGGCATTTGTGAACTTCTGCATTACACGGTTAGTATCAGATTACCCTGGGAGCTCCTGTCAGCAAGATCCCCCACTCCGTGGTAGAGAACGCCTCAGGCAGGAGCAATATTCCAAGCAAAGGGTGCTCTGCCTCCATTCCGGGACATCCCTGTCTTTTCCATTGTCTTTCACTAGAACATTTATTTCCCCTGTTTTCTTTTTACAGAGACTCTAGCTGTACTGTCCTATAATACAGTGATAGTATTTGAAAATAATATTTTTACATTTGTTTTATATGTATGAGTGTTTTATATGTATATATATATGCATCGTGTGTGTCTGGTGCCCATGGGAGGTCATGAGGATGTTGAGTCTCCTGGGACTGGAGTAATGGATGACTTTGAACCACCATGTGGGTGCTGGGAACCAAACCCGGGTCCTCTGTAAGAGCAGCCAGTACTCTTATTCTCTGTGCCATCTCCCTAGCCCCCTCAAAAAATGTTTTTAATGCTTTAAATGTACTTACTTTATTATTTTTGTATGTGGGAGCATTTTACCTGAATGTATTTATGTACACCGCATGCGTGCCTAATGCCCATGGAGGTCAGAAGAGGGCATTGGATCCTCTGGAACTGGAGTTACAGAGTTGTGAGCTGACATGTGGGAGCTGGGGATTGAACCTGGGTCCTCTCTATAAGAGCAACAAGTGCCCTTAACTGCTGAGCCACCTCTCCAGCTCAAGGAAATAATTAACTTCAAAAATACCTCACACTCAGTTTAAACACATTTTTTTTGAGAATTTCACATATCGCTGCTATATTTACATTATTTCCACCCATCCCTCCTCGCCTCAGACTCCTTCCGGGACTCCTCCTACTTCCTCTCAAATTTAGGACCTCCTCTTCTTTATTGTTATTACACATAGATGAGACCTACCTCGTCCGTGCCGTGTTGCTCAAGGTACATGTGTTTAGCTCTGACCGTTTGGGATTGGATAAGCTGTTGGAGTTATTTTGGAAACAGTTGATTGTTTCTATAGGCCATTGATAGCCGATAGCTCTTCTTCGGGGACAGAGCCTTGTGAAACGTCCCTCGCCCACACTGGCATGTCAACTGGTGTTTTCATTGTGTGGGTTTTGTTTAGGCAGCCATGTTGTTGCAGCTTCCCTGGTACATCGAGAAGGCGCCGCCATCTAGCAGCAAACTTCAGGGTCCTCTGGCTCTCCTTGTTTTTTCTCTCCTTCTTGCAGTTTCTTTGAGCCTTGCCTGCAAGGATTATGTTGTAGGTGTAACCCCTGTAACTAGTCTGTGTATTTTGGCTAGTGATAGATCTCTGTATTAGTCTCCATCTGCTGCTTAAAAAAAAAAAGGCTTCATGTATACAAAAAATTATCCCTGGCTTATCCCCCCTTTTTATGGAGAGTTCCTGGGGAAATTCTCTTTCCTTAAAGTCATCCAATTGCTAGGGCATCCCCATTAAACAGGATCTGTGTCAGCCCTGCTTCAATGGGAGCAGATCTCATTTCATAGTTA